TCAAAATGACTGGTTAATGAAGTAGGATGCTGGCATCTCCCTTGGTATCATGACTGTTACAGTAAATCATTCTGCACCATCCCTCTTCCATCACAGAATTTGACTTGATGGTGCATTTGCCATGGCCAGACTTTCCCTCCATACCGGTTCATTTATGGACCTTTCTGTGCCAGTGACAATGTAAATGATTGTTTTCTTCTCTCTTAGCATTCACTCCACAACCTGTCTGCTTTATCTGGCTGCTATAGCTGGATTCTCACCTAATGTATTTTGGTGCAACTCTGTTGTTCTGGCCCATCGTATATAATTAGGATGTATTTTTCTTGTATTTTTTAACATAATTTTTATTTAGGATGCCATAAAAGATGGGTGGAAAAACACAAGATGAACACAGGGAAGCTCTAACAAATTTAGAGCTGCATTTGTAACACGGAAAAGAGCTATAGTTCAGTGAAATAATATATGCCAGGAGTGGTTGAATCATGAGCCCAAACAGCAACTATTTTTTATTGCATAATAAACAGATAAGACAACCCAAAAAGAAAAGACTAAGAATGGTCTAACAAATCAGTTTAAGTATACCATTTAGAATCAGATAACACTGTGGTAGCAGTCTCTACTATTAATGACAATGGAGGAAGAGATTGCTTTCTTCCCAGGTTATTCAGCATGAGAGGACAGGGAGGTGAGGAGCAGAGCTAGAAGAACCCATGATAGGGAGAAGAGAAAAGAGCAAGATGTGTAGCAGAGGGAGAGGTTTTTGCTTCATAGAGATTTAATGTACATTTTCTATGTGTATTTGTGCAATAAATAATAACTCTTACCTTCCTGTAGCTGTTCAAATTGCCAGAGGCTCTCCTGTTTTTCACACAGAAACATTTTACTTTCCAAGCTGTAGCTTTCCCTGTGCTGGAATCTTTAAGCAGTGATTATTAATATTTATTACTTCAGAACAGCCCTGCTTTGGGGACAGCTGTGAACGGTGCCTTCTGCCAGGCACTGCACAAGCACGGGCTCATGGCTCTGAGGAACTGCTGGTTTACCTAATGGGGTGCACGGCAGGTTCCCCCGCGCAGATGCTGCCGACGCTGAACTGCTTCACCCCCCCCAGACCCCAGCCACACCTCCCAGGGGCAGACTCTGTCTCTGCAAGAGTTTCTTTGGCTGTGGTTAGACAGAGGGCTACAGTATCTAAACTGGGGAATGACAGCGAACTGGGCTTCCTGCTGGAAGCATAATATATTGCAGTACATTGTCTCGTGAGGAAGCAGTAACATGTATGTATAGAATTTGCTTGGAAAAGTCACTTTTCATGAAGCACTACCCACCTGAGCAGGCGGCTCAAAGGTTCAGTGGTGCCACACGGCTCTGCTCAGCAGCTCTTGGTAGACTTAACAGAGATGAAAAAAACACCCTGGGAAATGACAAGTTGAATGCAGAGTTGGTGTGGGGAAAGTTGGGAGTGATGAGCCCTTTCCCTCTTCACCCTCTCATTTCCACCCTGTGCGAGGTAACAAGGGAGGGGTACACAAAGATGAGGGGGTGGATGGGGTCCTCAGTGCTGCTCAGCTCTGGGCATACTGAGCTCCTGGAGCTGTGGCAGAGAAATGGGAAGGGGAAGTAAGCCTTTTCTGTTCCCTCCTTCCCTGATAAATCCACACCTTGTTCTGGACTATTTTTAGGGTGATTTTTTGAGTCACTAGTTGCTCGTGCACCATCTGCTTGAATTTGCAAATGAAACAATACCTCAAAGAGATAGGAGCTGTCTCTATCCATCTCTACAGGGTGTAATTTATGAAACCTAAATTTAAACATTAACCGTGTTTAAATGTGCTGCTGTAGACCATATTAGTAGTAACACCAGCTATTCTGGGGTTGTGGGAAGGAGTTTGGGATCAGGGTGGAGTTTATGAGTACTCCCACTTCTCAATTTCCTGGTTAAACTTCATTCTCTAAGATGATAGCGTTATAAATTATTTCAGACTAGTTCTTTCTCAGTCTCTATTTAAAAGCAGTATGACCTCACCACAGCATCTCTTTGGCTTAGTTTAGCCTGTGTTTCAAAGCTTCACAGAAAATGCTTCCTAGAAGAAAAGGAGATCCTGGGGCTCACAAGGGTTTTTGGTTTCAGGAATTGGACACAGCGTGACTGAAACTGTAAGAGGTATTGAGGGCATGCCATGCAGGCAGGGAGCTGGAATAACACAAGCCTCAGATTTTTAAGCTTTACCCTTATCTCGAGAGCCCTCCCCAAATGACTGGTGCTGTCTGAGTGCAAACCAGAGGAGTCTGATAACTCCACTGCACCAAACACCTGCCAAGTCAAAAGCCCAAAAACAAAAGAATTTGTTTCAAAAGCCCACCATGGTTTCTAAGCAACGTATTTACTTGTCACATCATTTGTAAAATCCAAACACTTGCAAGTAAGGATATGAATAGTTTAGAACATTGTAAATCTCACACTACCAATATCACAAGCCACATTTCATTAAGTATAAAACCCCACATTTCAAAAATTCATAACCTTCATTTTGACTCAGTTTGTGTGTTTTGTTTTTGTTTTAGATGTAGTGTTGGTATTTTAATGTACTGTTTTTCTTCTGTGAAGGAGTGATGTTTTGAAATATTTACTGCTTTTTTTTCAGCTCTTGAGTGCATGTGATCAGTATTTGAGCTTATTTTAATGGGAGGAAAAACAAATTTCTAGACCTCATTATTATCGTGAAAAAAACCCTTGAAAATATGCTCAGGGCAGTGATTTCACCTGCCCGTTGGAGAAGCAGCGTTCTGCTCTCGCCTCTGCTGCAGGCAGCGTGCCCCATCCCTGGGGAGGGTGGGCTTGTGGAGGAGGTGCGTGGTGTAGCTCTGACACCCCACCTCCTCAACACTACCTCACTACTGGCTGGGCAGAGACAGGAGCCAGTAAAAAAATGATGATATGAAAGACCTTGCTTGGAGCCAAGCCAAAAAGCTGCTTCACAAGAGCTCCCTGCCGAGGAGAACATAAAAGGTTTAAAGGAGGATGGTTGAGACACCGTGTGACAATCTGGCACGACAGCAAGCTGAAGGGAAACAGCTTGGACAACAGGAGGATGGTACCCAAACAAATGGCTGCACAGAGAGTGGCTGGGAAGCCCTAAGGGAAACAATTGACTTTTCCCAGAAGGAAACTGCAGGAGTGTCAGCTCGGGGCAGTAGCCTGCTGGGGCTGCGGATGTGAGAGGCATGGCTACGAGGGCTGGCCACTTGCAGGGACTGGAGATGTTACTGTAGAAAACCAGCCAGAAAGCGTCATGACCAGAAGTCCTCATAGTTCTGCCTGCCAAGAGGGCTGTCAGCTCCATCAGGAGATGGGAAAGGATGGTCTGTCATGGCTGTCGCATGGGGAACTGCAGCTCAGGAGCCCTTGTCACAAATAGTCATTGCCAAGAAGAGCCCAGAGGTAGAGGGCAGTGAGCAAAGGCTGCATCAAGGGACTGAAAACTGGCAAGTAAAGTGCACATCATTCTACACTGCCACACTTCTCTGCAGTAAAAGCAACTAAGCTGCTGGTGATGCAAATCTGGATGCTTTGATGGGGGCGGTTTTGGTGCTTCATTTAGAGCTGGACTGAATGTGCCTGTTGATGCCAAGTAGATAAGTGCAAGAAAGGAGATCGTTAGTCTGGGGAGCAAGGAGGGCGCTATATGAACTTTCAAGTCTTGTTTTAGGGGGTGCACAGAAGCCTGTACACAACTCTTCCTGGCTATGCAGGCTTAGGAGCTGAAATCGAACGGAGTGACGGATGTCCCAGAAGAGTTGCTTCAAGTTGCAACTTGCAGAAATATAGCAAGTTGTAAATATATTCTAGGATCCTCAACCAGCAGGTTTGGCACCTTGAGTTTATTGAAAGTCTCTGGTGTATGGTAGATTAGTCTGTCAGACACCAGGTATCATGCAGATTTCTGGCTGAACATAGGCTCTTTTCTGCCTGCTTGGCAGAAAGCTCCAGAGCACTGCAGTAAAACTCTCAAAACCTGTGCTGCTTGGAAAATATCACTCTTACCCTTGGGCACCTTCAATCCTGTCCAGATCTGGACTGCCACTGAACCCTGAAGAGAGTAAGTCTCAGCAGATTATGTTGCCTGGGCAAAAAGCATTTTGTAAACCAGGACATTCAGTAGCAGAAGGCAGGTCAGAGCTGATCCGATGATTTAGAGGATCAGCATTGGGTCTCAACTCTGTCAAAAGTACTTTCTGTTGCCAAATGATCAGGGCACCTCACCAACACTTGTCCTCACAGGACTTCTGTGAGGCAGGAAAGTACTAATAATTTCACACTTATAGATGGGAAACCAAGGCCCAGAGGGGTTAAGAGCAAGCCTGCCCTGTAAAAGGGCTGTGATGCTGCGACACGTGAGTTTGTAGTAGATCTGAAAGGTAGTGCAGTGTTGCACTTAACACAGCTACTCATGCAGCATGACTGTGCTTTTGAAAGGTACCAGTCAAAGTCTGCAAGGGTCAGAGGTCTCTGCACTTGGCTAGTGTGAACATAGACAAAGCTCTTCTGTGGATTCACAGAAAACCTGTGGCAGAGGTCAGATTTGGACCTCTTACTGTTGTATTTCCATCTGGTAATTTAATCACTTGCCCTCAGCCTTGCATCTCTAAAGAAGATAGAAGTCTTCAGAATGCTCAGGGAAGCCTATGAGTCCCACACACTTAACACTGGGACAGCGGAGCTTCAGCATGGCTG